TGATTGTTGGGGTTTTTCTCCCCGTTTTCCTTGTAGGTTCTTTACCTTATTTGACACTATATAAATATAATTCACTGAAATGACCCCCAAAGAAAGGCTGAATGCCGTGTGTAGAGGTCACAGGACTGACCTTGGGCGTCATGTTGTTGGTGATGCAGAAGGCCAGGTGTTGCTGGATGCTCTCCATGCTGTGGCAGTGCTGTTGCTTGGTGGTCCTCAGGTACTTCTGCAGGGCCCGAGCCATGGATGGGAAGATGGCTTGTGCTGCTTCTCGAGGGTCCATAACGTCCCCAGGTGCTTTTTTCTGCTCTTCCTCCTGCATGCGCTTGATGTGTGTAAACGCTTCCTCTACTGCCACCACCAGCCTGGGAGGGGAAACAGCAAACAACAGCCGTTTCAATAACAGCAGGCTTTTGTGTTTTACTGCTTGAAACGCGTTTTGATCTGACCGACTCACCGTGCTCTGCGTTTGCGGACGCGCCTCTCGTGCTCGGCCTCTTCGTAGTACAGCTCGTTGTGGCTGGTGTCTCTGCGGCGGGCGGCAGCTGCGATCATTGCTCTGGACTGAGAATGGGCGATTCCCGCTGCTGCGTTGTTTCCGGGACCTGCCGCGGCAAAATCAGATTGACGGGAAGGGTTAAACGCATGTATGAGAGTGTTCACAGGTGGTAGCGCCCGGTGAAGGAAGAAAGAAATCTTTGGTGATGACACAGAGTGCAATGTGAGAGAACAAGCTGCTGTTAGAGTGAAGGGGGGAGATTATTAATGCACCTCAGTCCATTTCCTTTTATCACCTGCAACACTTAAAACCCCAGAAGCTGACAAGAAGAGACGCACAAAGTCAGAATTTTTTATTGTTCCGAGCAATGTCATCAGTGGAAAATCCAAAACACATTCCTTCCCCCATGTACGGGCCATTGATATGCAAACACTTCCATTACTCTGCCTTCAGGAGGTACGGGGAGTGCAATTAAATGAGGGTCTCGGGCAACTTCAAAAGTTTACATTTTTAGAATTAGAAATCGGAGGCGGCTGATGAACCCCGCCTGATGTTAATGCAGGTTAAAAGATGGCAGCGCTGGTGAATTATTAATGCGGGGCAGGGATCGAGCATGAACAGAATAATTCATGGACCCCCCCCCTCCCAACTCTGCTCCTGGTATCACTGCATTGACATGAGGTTTACGGGTGGGAAACGTTACACTAAATGTCAGGGGAAGGAAGGTGCACTTGGAATTTGCCATGTGGCGCTTTCTGTACGGAAGATTTCAAATAACTCTACGAGACACACTTACAACAGAAACACGTGTCGGTTAGAAGTCAAGTGGAAGTAAAAGTAGTCTAGAGGTTCTTCAATAGTTCAAGACTGTACCTCTCAAATGGGAAAATTCATTGGTGTGAACAATACTAATCTGGAGCATGATGGTTTCTCAGGGGCACTGATACTGTAAAAAAACAAACATAAATACAAACCGAGCCGAGCAGTGGGGTTCATAGTTTAGGAGAAGGAATTTGTGAGACTAAAGCCACAAATTTACAAAAAAAACTTGAGATTTCTCCGATACTGTGAAGTCATAAGGCACCACATGATCGTACATCCTGTTTACATCCAGTTCACAGTTTAAAGCTACATCAATGAAATAATATTAACAGATGTACGTATCACAAAATGTTGAAAATCACAATAATGTTGTATCATGAATCTCATGTGTGGCGAGTCCCACCTGTACTATTCACACAGTGTCATTGTGTGTAACTGCTTAGGTACCTGTGGACAAATGAAATGCTGTGTGGACTTTTCAAGTGTTAACAGCCGTGCTTAAAAAGCGCTTTTCTTTAAAGTCTGAGCAATGTTAGGCTGCGTGTAGATGAAGCAGAACTGTCGCCAGCTGTTAAGAAATGGGGAGATAATATCCAACGCTGGGGCGATGGATGTTAGGAAGCATTGCATGTACAGAAATGAGAATATTCCACAGATTCAGGAATGTGTCATACAATCAGACAAGAAAGTGGGACGACGATCCAAAACGCAGATCAGACTTTTAATGCTGTCTGAAAGAGTGGCACCATTACTCATGACTGCAACAGGAAATACCTGTAACAGGGGTGACTGTATTTCACTCCACTTCTTTGATTTGGTAGTTCAGTCACAGAAACTTGAGCTGACTAAACAACACAGTTAAAATGTTGTTCCAGGAATCACAAAGCTCACCCGAAGCCATTTGGACGCAGTCTAATCGAGTATTACGGCTGTTTTGCGCTCAGAGCTTCACCAGTTTTTCATTAAGAAATGATTATCGTCTGTCCCTGAGTCAGAATTATTTATTACAGTAGCAGTGTGGCCGCAGAAAGCAAGAAGTAGGAAGTAAAAGCTCAAGACAAGAGAGCGATGAGAGCGACGGAGCTCCCTGAGCAGCTGCTGCGGGAGGAAAATGAAGGAGGATGAGGCTCGAGAGAGAAATGAGAATACTGGTGTTGTAATAGCTATTGATTTATCAGCCATCTCCGTCAACGCCTCCCACTAACATTTGAGAGGAGGAGGAAGAAAGGAGGGAAATAAATGGCAGGAAAATAAAACACCAAACCGAGAGGTGGGAGTCGAGTTAGTGCACTTAAGTGAAGCTTGAGTACACTTAAGGGACTGCAATAATTTAATCGAGGGTTTGTGTTGCATTCTGCCAGCTGTTGTAAGGACAACGCTGAACTTTTTCATCAACCTGTGGCATGCAAAGAGAGAATAGGAGTGGGTGGGAGTGGGGTGGGGGAGGTGGGGGCTTTTCATTTCAAGTACACTGAAGGAATAGCTTTGTTTAAAGCGAGCACACGCAGGCTGTGAGGGTACTTTTATTGGTGGCAGCGTTGCATTTACTTACTGTCCAACAGGTAGGCTTTCAGTTTAGCTTTAAAGGTGTCTTAACGGGTTAGCGTCAGTGTGAGGAAAAACACAGAGAGAAGAGCAAGTTTAAAACACTCCACCTGCTCCAGACACGCCGGAAGGTGCGCCCGGGGCGATATAGATAGCCACACTTTTTTTTGCATGTTGTAACACATCAGCTACAAATCACCTGTGCTTTATACTACGCTGGTCAATTTTCTAATTATGCCAAGACTGCAGATCAATTTTCTTCCTTCCAGGCAGTTATATGTTTTAGCACATTCCAGCACAGCTAAGGAGATTCGACCTGCAGAGACTTGAAATGTCATTTGGAGCGAACGACTGCTACACGAAAACGCAGTTTCTAACAGTTAACTCAAAAACAATGTGGCCTCTGTGTAATGGTGTTAAAGATGTATTTATTCTGCCAGTTAAGTGGTCACATTACATTGAAATGAGGGCAAAATATTGGCAGATATTATATTAAATATAATTAGAGGCAGCCATATTTAGTTTAATTGTCATAAACAGACCAGAACCATTTAAGCAAATAAGCGTAATTAACTGGAACAATGTTGCCAATTGTTGGACATTTGCTGGTTTTCTCAGTCTGACTCTTGCTGCTCTGTCATTAAACAAAACAAGTCATATCTCATTATGTAGTGTGGGAAATTGTGACCAGACAATCAACATGACCCTGAAGACTGGATCACAGTTGAGGCTGATTCTTTTTAAGCAAAACATTTGACAAACTTGCTGTTAAAGTTTTCAAATGAGAAGATTTGGAGACTTTTTTGTCTTTTTTAGCTAAAAATGTTGCGTTTAAATGTTGGACCCAAAAAAAGGCAACGTGTGAATATGAATCCTTGGAGTTTAAAGGCATTATGGCAATTCAAATATCAAATACATGTTGTTTAAAAAGGGTCAGTGGTCAAACTACAAATCTGAATATGAAATAACTAATTCACATCATTTAAACTAACAAGAACTGAGAAAGAGTTTTGGTGTCTAATCACTCATTTACCGAATGTCACTGATTCTTAAATGTCAAAATCCTATTTAAATCTATAGATTTCAATTCAATTCAATTTTTTTAGTCATTTTTATTTAATCACAACAACAGTTGCCTCAAGGCGCTTTATATTGTAAGGTAGATCCTACAATAATACATACAGAGAAAAACCCAACAATCATATGACCCCCTATGAGCACTTTGGCAACAGTGAGAAGGAAAAACTCCCTTTTAACAGGAAGAAACCTCCAGCAGAACCAGGCTCAGGGAGGGGCGGGGCCATCTGCTGTGATTGGTTGGGGTGAGAGAAGGAAGACAGGATCAAAGAGATCTGAGCTGTGGGTCAGTCTGAAAACAGGGAAATATTCAGTGTCTGTGAGCATTTTAAAGCCTGAACAATAATCAGTTTGTTGAACAGATAGCTGTAATAAGTAAAACACACAGTTTGCCCAAACAGATCAGGAAGAGCAGAGGTCTGCTTTTCCTGATCTGTTTGGAAAAGCAGAGGTCTGCTTTTCCAAACAGATCAGGAAGAGCAGACCTCTGAGACTCCATCACCTCAGAGCACAAAGAACAACCAAAATCACTGAAGACATGAAGCATCCCACTCACCCTCAGCAGGGGCTGCTGGGAACTCACCATCCACATTGTACACCTTGAGGCCAGCCAGATGCTTGGCAGCGCGGGATTTGGAGGCGGAAAGCAGCGCTGGGTTGTGAACCGGAAAGTCACAGTAGTAGTGCTCTATGATGGCCAGAGCTGCCCGCTGAATACTGGAGAGGAAGAAATGGGAAAATCAAAGGGAAGTTTAAGCCACATGGAAATGTTCAAGTTTGGAATTCAGGTAGCTTTGGGCCAGCATGAGAGCTTCAGGTCTGAGAGCAGGACGTGAGGAACATTAGCCACGGGACGTTTTTCACTTGTAACACCAAAGACTAGAAAATAGCCGTAGTAATTCTACAAGCCTTCCTGCTGAATACAAACACACAGCGAAAAGGCAGAAGGCAAAAAGCAGGAGGAAGCACTAGCCAACAGACATTTCTGGCTTTATTTGAAAACTTTCTGCGAGTGAAGAAAAACCCTTCTAGTATTTCTTCAGAATAACAGTACCATCAACATAAAACAGGGAGAGAGAGAGAGACAGAGCGAGGGGACGGAAGTGATATGGAAGAAAGGTGGAACAGCATCTGAGATGAAAAGATCTGACAGTAATACTTAATGACTAAGTGGAAATGATTCTTAAAGACACAAAACACCTTGGAGAACAGAATATCAGCACATCTAGAAGATAATGCACAGTGTAGAGGTAGATCTGCTGTGCTTGACGAGATTTAAGTGAAGATAAAAACACAGAGAACAGAACCAGTGACAAAAACATTTACAGATCTTCATCACCGGATGACCCACAATCCTCTGGAACTACATTAATGCATAAGTCAGAGCTGAAGACTGCGACAGAAAATCGGATTTCTGCTTCTCCTCAATGTCTCATTAATGCAATTTATGTTCACTGTTCGTCCTGGTAAACGTAAGATTTGAAAAGGCAGGGTGATTTATAGCCTGGAGGAAAAGACAAATCATGAGGTGGAAAAAAGGAGAGCTAGAGCTAGAAGAGACGTGGAGTGCTATTCCCATTTATACCTTTATATAATCGTTCGTGTACATGGTGAGCAGCAGCAGGTGATAACTGGATGTTCACAAACATCAGACGGGGGGCCACTACGAGCTGCAGGGTGAAGGTTGCCTTACAGGTGTTTAAGAGCCAACCAAGAAAAGGAAGTGATGTTTGAGGTTACAAGAGGCGCAAAGATGACAGAAGGAGTCACGAGCATGAAAGAGAAGCCAGAGACTCAAAGTGAGCTCAAAGTGTATAACCCAGACCCTGATACTTTATACCATGGATCACTAAGCATGCCAGGTCCTGTACACAGGTAAAGTATTTTTACACTAAAAGGTCATAAATCACTGGCTTGATAATAATATAGTTCCTCTGTGGTTCCTCTTTCAAATAAAAAGGTAAATCACGCCAAAACGACACACTTACTCAAGCAGCGACACTACGGCCTTACTCACGTTTACCAATACTTTACAGCAGTCATGCTAATATCAGCTGACTATAAATACCGATTCTCGTGTCACGGTTCTAAAATGTGATCGCTGATTGGAAAAGGTTTGCAGTTTTATATCAAAACATTATAGCTTCACATCAATAGTTTCACAGTTAGCATGTCTCTCTGTGCCTGCGGGGCTTTTCGGTCCAAAGACATGCTCACTAGGTTAGCGAGTGATTTTGGTGTAGGTATCAACAAGAGTGTGA